TAATTTGAGTGCGCCCTTACACTCCATGCTTTCACAGGAGATCTGCCAGAAAGTCATGTTGAATGCAGGTGTGGTGAAATATTTGTAAATATAAAACACACAACTGTGCAAAATAAGATTTAAGGAGGCAGGATTTGTTTGATGTGTTTTGATGAATATGCTGTACCTGTGTGGTGGTTGCTGTATCAGCCCCTCTGGTCTCCCCGCGTGCTTGCCTCCAGGCCAGAGATCCAGAGTTACGTCCCCCGAGCTCTCCTGATTTTGGTTTCTTCGGGGAAATAAACTCGACCAGCTCAACAAGCAGCCTCTCTGTAAGCACCTTCTTCCTGTCCGGAGTCAGGGCCTGCTGCCTCTGCAGCATCAGAGCAGATAAAAGCTGGTTAACATCAAATTCACTGCAGCAGTGTAATCATACTTGCAGGTTTTGAAACTCTCACTGATTGATTGAGCCCGTTTATGGTGTGCAGCAGCCAGGCCTCCTGAACCCTGGTCCTCCTCGTCAAAATCTCTGGATGTTTGCAGGAGTACCTCCAGGTCACATCAACCACCTGCAACAGACACACAAACACGAATACCAACACACATGAACTGTCTGTCGAACCAGGACCTGATGAAACAACATTGTTCAAAGTGCAGCTGTTTGGCCAAAAGAGGGCGCTAATCATTCCAAGATAAAAATCAACACAGGAAATGGAGACGTCACAATATCAAAATTTTAGACTTTGGTTTGAAAGAAGTAAAAGAAAAACTTTAGAGATACCTAAACAGTAAAAGTAGAATAGATTTTAACTGTTAATGATAAAAGTACTTGTGGCAGCAGTAGGATGTAGTGTCTATCTGTCTTACCTGGTCCTTAGAGAAAGCCAGAACGTAGGCCAGTTTCTTCCCCCAGCCGACCTCGTACAGCAGAGGTTTATCACAGGCGTTCTCACAGGAGTCACAGTGCAGCCAGCGACGCTGAGAGGACGAGTAAATCTCCGTCCACACGTGGTCTGAATCAACAGAGAGAGAGTAACAAATTGGATTTCACTGAGTCTTTCTTTTATTTTAAACACACCATGAATATTTTTAAACAAACCTGGTCAGGTATGATAGTACAATGTTTGAAATTTGACTGATACATCATATCATTGTCTAAAGACACCAGTACAATAAGCATTAAATATCCTTAAAGGTTTGATTGCAATAGAAAAAATATGGAACTTGTGCTTGGAGCAGGAATTATATTTATAAAGAAAGAGGAAAAGAGGAATTATAGGTGGGCCATCAAGAGAAAACTAAAAAGTTTGATCACGTAAGAACATTTATAAGTTTGTGAGTTTAACGTCAGGATTAACTTAGAAACTCTCAGAAGTTATTTCAGGACAGACTGAGATGTTATGGGAAGCAGAAATCTCAACTCAAGATGCCCTTACTTACTTTTCCAAAGTGTTCAGTTAAATGTTATGATCTTCACTTTTAAGATGGCGCTCAATTCTTTGCGAGTCCTGATTTAAGCCATGACTAACTGATTTTCTTCAATATGAATTGATGAGCCAAATTGTTGTTGAATACTTGCATCCAGAGTTCAAGGGGACTCTACAGATTCCTAATTTTGTCAAAATTACAGTTCTTAAACTTCAAAAGATATCCAATTTAACTATCGTAAGAAACTGAAGAAACCAGGACATACTCACATCCCATGAGGCTTAAACCCTGAAGTTAGACATTTCCCATCATGCTTCTTCCATTATGAAAATAGTTGCCCGTTTCCTTTTTTTAAACTTAAGAATAACTTTTGAAGTACAAGTAGGGACAAACTTATTGACAACTAAGGACATTTCACTCCCTGATAAGGACGTAAGATTCTCTAGTAAAATCAGAAATGGACCTATGGGTAATAAAAACAGTAACAATGGCCACTCTTTAGGACTTAAAGTTCCTCCTGATATATAACACTGCATGCCTGTGTTATATTCTCTGCAGAACGTTTTAATGCATGTTATCTTATTACATGAAAAGAGTGATTTCTGTGAGTGATGTACACACCTGTGCTGTCCCAGATGTATCTGGCCTCCAGGCCCATGGCTCGGCAGCACAATGTGAAACAGTTAGCCCACTCTCCACAGCGCCCCCTCCTGGTTTCAAGCAGCTTTTCTGGATTGTTGTACCTGAAATTAGCATAATGCAAAAAATAAGCATACAAAATATATTTTCATTAATGCAACCCACTGCTCTCCATATACAGTTACCGTGTTCTCTTGACAGTATGCAGGTAAAAATGTTTAATTTCTCACTTTCTTAAAACTGTTTTAACAGTGAATACTATGAAATAAAAAATGTAACAATGATTTGTAGAATTAGTGAAAAAAGATATTCATCATTGAACATTTTTCTGCAACTACATCCAAATTTTGATGTTGTCTGTAAAAAAAAAAAAAAAATGTTCTAACTTCCTCACTGCAGCTATAAAATGTCAAACACACACAGACCTGGGGAATCTGGTAGAGAGCTGGCAGCTCTGACAGTAGTGGTTCTCAACTCGCTGGGCCCCCCATCGGAGGTCATCCGCAGTGGGACTGAGCGAGCTGGAGTTCTGCGTCTGGCCTCCGCAGCGGCTGCAGGGCAGAGAGTCCACCCAGGAGAAGAAGTCCTTTTTGAACCAGCTGAGCAACTCCAGCGCCAGGAAGTCCTCTATTCCGAGTTTACATTCTGCAAACAGGAAAGCAAGCAAGTTTAGTCATACAGTGTAAGACAGATAAACAATGTGTTATATTGATTTAGGGGACTTTACCCGAATCAGCGTCTTTGGCTTCCTTCAGCCTTTGTTCAGCATTAGAGGACATTTGTTGGTGAGGGATGTGGCTCCTGGCTTTCTGCTGCAGCTCTGGGTTTTCATACAGCATCACATGCTGGAAGTTCGCCTGGAGAGTCACTAAGAAGCTCATGCTGCTCTCCTGACGGACAGAAAGACAACACAACATCAGGGTTACTATTCTGTCCTCACGATTGCGTTTCTGAGCAAGGCTAGACAGATAGCGAAACAAAAACTCCAATAAAACCGTTTTCTTGAACAGAGTGGCTTTCGTGATGGTCGTTTCTGTAAAACTGAAAATACAGTACAAATATTGTGTCAATACACTGCACATGTAAAGCACACACACATGACATGAAACTGTAAATAGTTAAATGTATGATGTACATTAATAGCTTGAGATGAAAATATGAATCAAACTTCTTTTTAAATCCGTATGAATTGTAACCCCATGTATTCACATATAACATCGCCGTATAACATTCTTACACACATTTATTCAGCAGCTAAACAACTCCGGAAAGTGTCAGTACTCTGTAGTACACATACAACATGACACAATGCTTCAGTGTTAGCTATTTAGCGGATCTCCGTGTTTACGCACAACTGGAGGCTTAAAGAAATCTTCATAAACAGAAATATCTCTTCATAAAAATGCATTCAAACAATATATGACATGTTACGGACATATCAACTCCAAAGTTTAAAACGTAAGGAGACAACTGAGCTGCAAGCACACTGAAGTCTGCTCTTTGTGTACATGAAACTAAACTGAGGGTGAAAATGAAACTTAAAAAAAAACAGAAGTGAAACACAAAGTGTGGACCAGCCATATCCTCACCAAGGATGATGGCTGTGCTGCAGGTGCTACGACTGGCTGGCTTGACGCTGAGGCGGAGCTCTCTGGCGTGGAAGCCGAGGGAGAGGCCGCAGCAGGCTGAGCGGAGGGTTGCACGGGCTGCAGCCTCTGATCCCTCTCCTTTGCTATGGATTCCCTGATGAGCTTCAGTTGATCCACGGATGCAGACTTTGGGAACACCAGGTGTGTCTCAGCCTGGAAAGAAGTGGAAGATGTTAACATAATTACCCACAGTCAAAGACGGATAACCGAGTAAGACACTTGGGATGTGAGCATGCACCAGCTTTGGCAAAATAGTAGTTATTACCTCTTCAAATCCCATCTCGAAGAGGCACTCCACAGCACCTTTGATGGGCAGCAGCTTGGTGGAGAAAGTAGGATTGCCTATGCGGATCGATCTGTACTTTTCCTCATTCGGATACCTGATGGAAGGTGATATCAAATAAGGAATAAGAGGCATTAAAATAAAATAAAAACCACTTTGTTCCTCTGTGGGAAAGTACACAACAATGAGTTACATGTTTACAAATGAGAAATGTACAAACATAATATCCACATGATTAATCGGCATGATTAGTTAATTAATTGGTGTTGTTTTTCAACGCAGACGTGGCAGAAACACCCCACCTAGTATTTAATTTAAAGCCAATGTTAGATAAGATACAGACTCATATAATCATAATTGCTTTTAATTGGTGGTTTCAATTGTACGCCGAATTAACCAGAACAGCCTTGACATCGATGCCAAAATTGAAAAAGTGAGCTCCCATGTGTATTTGTGAGCTTAACAACAAAGACTCGGAAAAATAGCAGATTATTTAACAGGGTTTTGGTTGGGCGCACAACAGACGTGCGGCGTGTGCAGAAACTGCGGCGTTAATCACGACGCAGGTGTCGTTTGGTGACTCATCACAGATGAACAAAGTTAGCTACTGTTGGATGCATTCAAAAAAAACAAACCTTAAAAAGAAAACACAGAGATTAGATGTTACACAATCGCGGTGAGGCTAACACGTCCATGTCTGCAGAGGCATTGCTGCGTTCACCAAGTTCAAAACATTACCTTAAAATGTTGTCGGCGTAGGTGAGTAACAACTTTGAGGCGTCAAGAAACTCCTCGTTTGAATTCTCGCACAATGTAGTGACCGCTGGGGATTCAGACATACTTAAACCTCACGAACAAACTAAAAAAAACAAAACCGTGACTTCAGTGTTTTGGTAGCTGAAGCTAAAAGTGCCGTATGGGCTGAGAGATGTCGAGGAAGCTGCCCTCACACTGCCTGAGTTACTTTTCCAGCCTTAAAAATGTGAAACATGCATTAAGACTGTAGTTTTCACCTTAATTATGTTTCATGGAACATTATATTTTAATATTGTTGCTTTATTGATATAAAGGGAATTTTTAAATTAGGATTTAATTGTTAAAAAAAATCAGGCGTTAGAAAGAGCTGACTCTAAGGTGCTTTCATGATTCAATGATGGAGTCGTTTTCTCGTTGCATGGATGTGTTGACAGCTCAGTTTAAAGTGCTTTTAAGTCTCAAACTAAAGTACAGTTTCATCTGAAGGATACTTTTTTTTTTTTTTACATTAATTCTCTTTTATGACAAGGGAGAGATTGCAGCATGTCTGCTTTATCACCATTCGTTTGGACTAATTTCAAGTTGAGATCACAGATTATGGGGACACTTCTTCAAAAGAGGGTCTCTGTTTGTCCAAACACAGACTCAAAAAGGCAGCACAGCTCTGGACCCCACAGAAGGAGAGTTGTTATTACTGGGATAGGGTTGGTGTGTCCTCTGGGAACTGGGACTGCACTGCCCTGGGACCGGCTGGTCAAAGGTCAGTGTGGGATTGTGTCTCTGGACTCAGAGGAGTATAAGACAGTCCCCTGTAAAGTTGCAGCACTGGTACAGAGAGGAGATGGAGCGGGTCGCTTCAAGGAAGACAGGTTCGCCTCTCGTGGGGAGATCAACAGCATGTCACCAGCCACTGTGATGGCCCTCGGCGCCGCTCAGCTGGCTCTGGAGGACTCAGGGTGGCACCCAGAAACCCCAGAGGAGCATCTCAACACCGGGGTGGCTGTCGGCATGGGCATGGTGTCTCTGGACGAGATCGCTCGCACCTCTGCCGCTTTCAAAGAGAGAGGATACAACAGAGTCAGCCCTTTCTTTGTGCCTCGCATCCTGGTCAACATGGCGGCCGGCCACATCAGCATCAGACACGGACTGAAGGGTCCCAATCACGCGGTCTCCACGGCGTGCACCACCGGAGCGCACGCCTTGGGCGACGCAGCCAGGTTCATAGCTCACGGGGATGCGGTTGCCATGGTAGCAGGGGGAACAGAGTCATGCGTGGGCCCTCTGTCCGTGGCCGGGTTCGCCAGGGCACGGGCCCTCGCCACCAAGTGGAACGACAGTCCCGCGCGGGCGTCGAGACCCTTTCACCCGGAGAGGGAGGGCTTCGTGATGGGGGAAGGAGCGGCGGTGCTCCTCCTGGAGGAGCTGGAGCACGCGGTGAGGAGAGGAGCGAGGATGTACGCGGAGGTGCTCGGGTACGGACTCTCGGGGGACGCCAGCCACATCACAGCGCCCGCTGCGGACGGCGATGGGGCGTTCAGGTGAGTCGTGGAGGATGGTTGATGAAGAAAGGTGGACAAAAACATATTTCTGCCACAGTCATGTTTATTAATCATTGTCTTCCTTCCGTCGACTTTTCTTTGCAGATGTATGGCTGCAGCACTCAGAGATGCCGGCGTCGCGCCAGCGGAGGTGACGTACGTAAACGCCCACGCCACCTCCACACCTTTGGGCGACGCAGCTGAAAACGCCGCCATCAAGAGGTTCTTCTGTGATAACCTCGAACACCTGGCTGTGTCCTCCACAAAGGGGGCCACGGGACACCTGCTGGGGGCCGCAGGAGCCCTGGAGGCAGCTTTCACTGCTTTGGCCTGCTACCACAGGGTCCTTCCCCCGACCCTGAACCTGGATCGCACGGACCCAGAGTTTGACCTGAATTATGTTCCCTGCACAGCTCAGACCTGGCAGACTCCGGCCGACGGGTCGCCATCACAAACTCGTTCGGATTTGGAGGCACCAACGCCTCATTGTGTCTGGCCAGCGTCTGATGTGCAGCCTAAATCTCATTCCTCGGTTATCGAGTTTCACTGACTGAATGTTTTTTTGCAGGATTGGTCTTCTCTACTTTATGTTTGTGTGTGGAAAACGCTTGACGTGACACTTCAGAATTAAAACGGCAAACATTAAACTCAGAGAGAGTCCGGCTTTTCTCTTCATGTTTAATAATTGGCTCTTTTTTTTTTGAAAAAGCAGTCTGGGTTCTTTTGCAGGATCTGGCTCGTGTGTTGCTCTCTCTTTATCAACATGATTGTTTTTGGGTTTTTTCGCAACTTGTGAGTGGCAGGATGAAACTGGATGGAAAGTAACTCACCCGCTTAGAGGGACGCTGTGGTATTTTTAACCTATTTTGGATCTATTTTTGGATCTGAGAGACAAATAGTTACAAAGTGTTTTGCTATTTCTCCAGCAGTCTGCAGCAGTACACCGGGTTAAAAGACTGAAACATCATTCCAGGGGGCAACTACAAATCGAAAAAAAAGGTCCAATAAAAGGAGCTTTTGTTATCTTTGTGTCTGAAAATATCACAAAAGGGACTTTTATACTGACAAAAAAACAGCCATTACAATCTATATTTAAAGCCAACACACTCGATAACATACAAAAATAACAATTTTAGGAAGAGCAAAATAGTTGCTGATCTCCTGCTGACATGATCTGTTAGTTTTGATTTTCTAATGTCAGCTTTTTTTGTTGTAGATGCTTAGTTTGGATCCAACATAACCTCATTACCAAATGAGGTAACTGTAAAAAAGCATCTGCTGTGTTCTGTTCTGCAAGGTCAGTGAACTGTTTTTATAAATGAAGTCTGGTGGCTTTGAAGAGAGAGAGATGTAACTTCTGTTTCAGATTTAAAGAGGAGCTTTCTCTTTCGGGATTCTTTCTGTAATGTTGTTCATATAAGACATCAAAAGCATCATGACTAAAGGGGAAAAGAAACACTTTCTTAGAAATAATTTGAAAATGAACTTTAATAAGCACATATAATAGGCCTAAAGAAATCTGGCAGGCGTTTCCTTGCAGACGTTAACAGCTTTTCTCAAGCTCAGCTTCATCAAAAAGACATTTTGTAGTCAGAGAAAAGTAAAAGTAGTCTTCAGATTTGAAGAAAAAAATAAAACTCCAAGCTACAATATACATTTAGTCAGGTGAAGCTTTTCTACAACCCTATTTCCTTGAATGTTGGCATGTTGTGTATAATAATAATAATAATAAAAACATTTGCGACAGACATTCACTTGTTTCCCAGCGGGTGGCGCCGGCTCACAGCGAGTCATGCATGTTTTGCTTTGAAGCACATTTCCTGTCCAGTTTTCACTGAAGGCATTCGGTAGACCCCCTCAGTGCAGCAGAAGCATAAACAGCACCACGAGCATCAGAACAGACTGAGTTTAATAAAGCCTCCGTGATGATTACTTCATCGCCAAGTGACCTCAGAACAACCAGGAGATACAGGAAGTGCATTCAAGAGACAACAAGGCAGACATGTGAGATGCTTTTACATCCATTAGAGCAAACAGAGAGGAAATGATCTGCAGGAGGGAGATATGAAGAATGGTATCAAGAAGAGAATAAGCGCTAATTATCACTAACACTAATACTGGAACTCCGAAACGCTTGGCCAGTTTATCACAATTAGAATACGTGATGCTGAAGGTCTGAGCCGAGCACTTATAACATCTAACGGAGGTATGATGTCTCTGTAGAGCCTTTTGGACTCACTATTTGTTTTTTCACACATGCACACAAATCCTGACTTCCTGAAATTGTAAGGGTCAGCCCCCTCGTAACATTTCCACAGCTCACAGGGGCGAGCCCCTTTTGTAAACTTAGCAGCAAATATTCAGGAACATTCACTGCGAGCGTTTGGGCCGAATGATGACATTTAAATCCCACCTGTGTAAACTTCATAGGCTTTTTTTTTTTTTTTTTTTTTTGCATGCAAGACTCTACTTTACCACTCATTTGTTAAAACTGTGAATATGTCCAATTACATCAGCATTGATGTTGAAGGCATAATTAATTAATTAACATAATTGACATAATTGTTGCTTTGTCCACCATTTTCAAGTCGTCCTTTTTTACCTTTTTACCTTTTTACGTCGTGTCCTGCCTCCTTAGATCGCTCCAGTCCAACAGTAAAAGTCTCCCGCTCTGAGATGTAGGAGCAAACAGGCAAGTCAAGAAGAAATAAGGGGCGGCATGTGCTGAAATTTTCTTAAGTGCACGTGTGAAAAAAGGTTTAGGAGACTCCTCCTCTGTGAGGATTCGGCCTGTTGTGGCCTTTAATGTTATTAGTTGGGAAAACAAGCAAAGGATGAGCGGAGCAGAGAGGATGAGTAAGACGGGTAAGTGTCATTGTGTCGGGTTGAAGTGAGAGTTACAGGATAAATATTCCCCTTTTGGAAAGTAAAGGACACTTTCCATTGTTCGAAGTATTCTTCAATAACGTTTGAACGATAATTATCATTCTCTTTTCCTCTGGCGGTCATCTGGCTGTGACAGTTCTCAAATAGAGAATATAACCCTGACGTTAAATAAGCATAAAGTCAAACTTGCAGTGCCTATAGACTCAAAAGTGTAAACAGAGTAAACAACTCATTGTACGGACCTTTTTGTTGATCTTGGAAGCGTCTGACATTTTTGGAAACATAAGCATTATCCTCTTTATCGAACGTTCAATAAAAATATCAATACCCCTTCTTGTCTGCATGTTAAGTACAAGCTGGAGCCGGGAGACAGTACGATTAGTAAAACCTCGCAGGGCATCTTTAATTAATGTGTCTGTTTCTTCTTTTTATGTAATTACTCATGTTAAGATATGAGAGTAACACAGGAATAACTTCAGGATGAAGCACAGCCCCGATTCCAAGACGGATGCCATTTATAAACATTTCTCTCCTTGTGTTTAAATACATTGGAATAATACTTCAACTGCAAATACATTACTCTTTGTTAAAACATCAAAAGAGGTCAGTCAATGTACCCTCAACCAACAGTTGATATAATATCCTAAGAAATGTAATAAACATTTTATTTCGTTCTGCTTTAATGGACCCTTTAGTATCTGTTGCCTCATTCATTATGCCACAGGCTAAACATGTAAATGTCTGCTGGGTAGTCTAAACCCCAATCTAAAACCAAACATCACCATGAACGTTGAATTACCTTTCTTCAGGGTCAGCAGACTTCCCACATGCTGGAGTGCTGAAGCAGACAGGCTGGGATTTACTTTGGAAAAATGACACCTGAAGAAAACCCTGCAGTGCCAAACCTTGTACACCAGGCGATATATATGTACCTAAGGTGAGACCGAAGGATTGGCTTTTTTTATTATTAAATATAATGTGTTACTTTTTGCTGGTTCCAAACTTAAATGCGAGCCTAAAAAAAAAAAAAAAAAAAAAAAAGCATGAATGTGTTACGGCTGTATGTTTCCCTGTGCTGTGTGTTCCTTCTCCACTTTCTGTTCTCCAGTCCAGGGTGAAGCTACAAATTGCACAACGAGGTACACCTGGCCTCAGAGCTTAAAAGGTCAGTGCTGGCTGCAGAAAGGGAGGCATTTTGGAGATGGCATTTTGGAGTTGGGACTGCTGCGCCTCTCAGTCAGGGATTGTCTGTTGTCTTTTGTTTCTCATTTGATCTTTGTTATCATTTAGTGTGTCATATTGTAACAAATCCCTTTGTTTTGGCTTTGTTAAGGTGTTTTAAGTATTTTAATGGGTCAATGTGTGGATTGTTGTTAGCCCCATAGGCCCCCCATAGCCTTATGGCGGGGCGTGACACATGCTTAATTTTGTTTAAGCTGCAATTCGTGACATATTTTTTGTTTTGAATTTGAAAAAATTGAAAAAGCCCAAGTACTCTGAGTTTTCTGTTGTATCTTTCATCACTAGAAGTACATTAATTTACAGAGGTCAGAGCACTTCTAGGTTACCGGTGCACTAATTAACAAACTTACCAATGCAAACAACTTTATGATATGGATAAATTACATTAGAAATACAGATGCAACGTTTATTTTCATGAATGATCTAAAGCCTCTCAGTCGTTGTGCTTTCTGAAGCACACTCAGTGTTGGAAGTATGTCCACTCTCATAACCCTCCTCATATATTGTAAGGCTGGACCCCTTTGCTCTGTATTTCACTTGGTGAATAATTGTACTGTCCCTGCTGAATTAATAGCATGATGTAAAGCCTGACCCATATGATGAATTACTGTACTGGGGGAATTTCTGTCCGACCCATTTTTGGAGATTACGTATTATTAACTCCTCTGGATGTCACATCCTGCTAATGAATGAATCAATTATTCATCCATTTTTTAATTTGAAATCATTTGACAAGGATAAATGGGTTATGAAAAGGCTTTTTTTTTTGTGTGGGTTGGAAAGGAAGACCCAGCATTACATGGAGATTATTTTGTCCCCGGGTCTTTCACATCACTCTCTGTCTGACTGTAGTTTTAATGCAGGGTACTGTATGTGTGAGAGAGAGTTTCTTACTCCCTGTAGCGCTTTAAATGCAACTTCATTTTGTTGTGTATCAAGATGTAGTAAACCACTGACCCGCTACATGGACAGAGATCCCCAACTTATAGAAGGGAGTGGAGTGTTTGGGAAAATGTTTTCCAGGTTTTGTGATTCATTTGAATGAGACTGTTTATTCACAGTGGATACAAGAAGATACCTCTGTGAACCAGACTAACAGAAGAAGAACTCAGCGGGGCCAGGAAGTGAGTTATGTGGTAACTAGAGGACAAGGGAGATCCCAAGTTACCCTGTGGTGCAAGGGTGTAACAACAGCAACAACAACGACTATAACAGCACATTTCTGGATCAAAGTGTCTCAGCGGCTCATATGACCAGAGTCTGCATCGCTCACCATCCACAGTTTCCTGTTGTACTGAAGGCCTGTGTTTTACAGGCCGTTTTCAATTTTCCAAAGAGAAAGCCGAATGGGAGTTTTTCTAAAATGCAAGTTTTTGACTTCAACTGTTATTTACATGATGACAATCCATAGTCTGCATGATGTGTGGTCAAAATACACCACGTGTCAGCTGCTGAATATGATAACTGAAAATACTCTGTAGCCGAAATAAGGTTTAGCATTTGTTGCTGTATGAGATGATCTCAAAC